AATTTGTAAGTAGAATTTGAAAGGGAACGTCCCTGTAATTTTGCATATTTATGAGAGACAGAAGACACCATCAACCCTTTACCATCTTTTGTAAAAATTACAGGCTTTGTTTTACATCATTTGGGGAAAAGAGGGGTTGCTGTTCCCCAACCCTATACCTTCTAAAAAATTTTTTAAAATTAATATAATCTTTTTTTCCCAACACCCCGGCCATTTTCCCCCGAGGGGGGTTGGCCCCAAAAAGGGAAAAAAACAAAAGTTTTTCCTTTTACATTTGAAAATTATTTACGGGGAGAAGGGGTTACTACCCCCTTGCTCCTGGCATTTTGGGTCCCCCTTTACAAACGCTTTGTTTAAGGGGGAAAGGGTTTCTGTTCCACTTCCCAAAGGATGATGTTAATAATAAAATTTTTTTTTTTTTAAAAAGGGCCGGCGTCTCCCCCCGAGGCGGGGGGAACCCAAAAAGAAAAAAAATTTCCCCATTAAGAATTACTTTCATCATCTTTTCAAAAATTTACCTGCACTACACATCACGATTTTGCAGAGGTGTCCAGAACAAAAACGTCTAAAAGCTATATGTAAAAAAGATAAGGGACTTCCTAAAAACTGCTAATATCTAAAACCCCCCCTTTAGAGTGCAGGCATTGAAATTTCCCCAATTCAGGTTTAAAAGTCCACTATTTAAAAAAAACCGGTTTCCTGAATTCCTTCACTAAATATTCCCCTGTCAAAACTCCAACAAAATTGTCAGGTCCCGAATACCTTTGGGTTCTCCATTCACTCCTATCAAAACACTCTCATGCATCCCGCTGGAAGTCCAACCCCCTTCCCCCCACAAAACCTCCCTTCCCCCTTCCCTTTCCCAAACCCTTTTTTCGGGGGAAAAACCCCCTACCCCGCCCCCTTTCCCCCCTCCCAATTTAGGGTGCTCTCCATATCATTCTCTTTGTTTCCATTCTCTCTAAATAAACCAAACCCACCTCAGAAAACCCCCTCTTCAGCCCCTGATATTATTATTTTTAACTCCAAACCTTTTTTCTAATTTCCACACCCCAAATTTTCTGCATAATTTTTACACCACACATTGCCCTTGCAGGACATTTTTCCACTGCCCCCAACCCCGCCTTCTCACTGCTGCATTCACAACCCAAGTTTCCCAAACCCTTATAAGATTTTGTTGGTTTTTACAAATATTTCTTACTTTCCCCTTTTTTTGCCCCCTTAGATAGCTTTTTTTTTTCCCCCAATTCCCAAAAGAAATCACTCCCCTTTTTTAAACCTCACCCAAATTCTATGTTTAAACCTCATCCTTCAAAAAACCCATCTGGGGAACCCCATCAACCCCCAAGTATCTGAAAACATTTACTTTTTTAAATTTACTCCTCCCTAATTTGATACCCAAATTTTTTTTTATCTAAATCATTTGTCCCCCCCCTTTCTTTTCCCCCCTTTTTGGCTCTTTGCTATTTTTTCAAAACCCCAACTTTCTACCTTTAACACCCCCAAATTTTGTCCACTAACTTTTGAAAATTTTTCTTTAGAATCTCCCATAAGAACAGTATCTCAGAAAAAAAAAGCAACTGGTAAATTCCCTTTTTGTATTTGTTTTCCCGAAATTTTTTTCCCACCCCTCTCCCAAACCCCCTAGTTTTATTTTTTTTAAAACCCCATTTTTAAAATTTGTTTTAAAAATACCATGGGGGGACATTACACATCCTTTTCTAAAGATTTTTTTAAAGGGGAAAGTAGTTTTCTCTCCCTTCTACACCCCCAAAACCTGAGCCCCCATATCCTCAAAAAAAACTCTTTACAGAATTTTTTTAAACTCCCACCTATTCCTTATACTTGAAACATCTCCCCACATTGCTCCCCTATCCACTCTTTTCTTATCCCTTTTTTCAAAATTTCCTTTAAATGTAAAAAAAACTTCCTACCTTGATCAAAATTTTATTTTCCCAAATATTTGCTTCAATGTAAACCTTTGATCTCACACCCCCTACCCACCCCTTGAGCCTTGCTCACCCGCAACCCCTACATTCTGTCTTACATAAAATTTCTTTCATTTTTAAAACCCCTTTACCGTTTATTTTTCCCTGGTAATTTTTTTTTTTTGTAAAATTTTTCCCTCTATATTTTTACAATCTTTTTTGTCCCTTTTCCCTTTTTTTAAAAAGGGACTGTCATGCTCTCTGCCACCCCCTAGGTCCCTTCCCCTTTTATAAATTTTTTTTAAAAAAAAAACCCAAACCCCACTCCAACATAATCCTCCCTTTTTTAACATTTCTTTTCTTTATCCCGTCGTTCCAGCTGTTTTACCCCTTTCTTTTCTACGTAATCCCTCGCGCACCCCCCCCATCAAACCCTTTTCTTCTTCACTCCTGAAAGAGGGTTTAAAACCTCCCTACCAGGAATAAAAATTTCCCGTTTCCCCTTTCTTCGTCGACATTAAAATTTCCTCAAAATATTCTCGCCTTTACCAAAACCTCCATCTCCCCTTTTTAAAAACCTTACCCCCCTACTCTGTTTTAACGGGAAAAAATTTTTTGTTCTCTAGGCTTTCTTTTGTTTAACTCTCTAAAAAAATTTTTCTTATTTTCTTTTAAAATTTCTTGACAGTGCCTCACCCACCCCTACTTTCTCCCTCTTTTTTTGCACCTCTCCCCCAATTCTTCATCTTTTTTTTTACTCTCCATATACTTGCTTTTTCTTATAAAAAATTCTGCTTTGAAAAAAAACCTTTCAAAAGCTAATTTTTTTCTTTTTTTATCACCCCCTTTACTTTTCATTCTGCCAATTTACCCCTTTTTTTCCCCCTTTCCCCCCACCCTCCTATACCAAAATTTTTCTGCCCCCTTTTTAATACTGCTTTTTTAAAAAACTTTTTTCAACCTATTAACCCCCCCCCCCCCATTCCCCTCATATTTGAAAAAAACCCCACCTTTTTTCCCAATATTTGCTTTTATCTCCCCCAAACTTCCTCCTCCTTTAGTTTATACCTTTCACCCCTCTTGCTTGTTTTTGCCATTTTCCTCTTTTCCCCCCTACCTTTTAAAATTTAACTGTAAAAAAACTAAATTTGATCCGTTTATCGGGTTCCCCCTCTAAAACTTTGTCCAAAGGGGGCCTCCCAAAAAACCCCTTTTATCCCCCCCCAATACAAAAATCTAAAAAAACTATATTTTATTAGTGCTTTTTCTTCCCCTTGTATATTTTTTAAATTCTCTTCTTCAAAAAAAATATGTTTTTTACTTATTCCCAAACCCCTTTTCCCACATAGCTAAATTAAAAGGGTTTCCCCATTTTCTTTTCCCCCTGGCACCCCAATAAAACCTTTTTACTCCCCCAAAACTTTTTTGGCCGCTTTAGCTTTGGGGAAACCCCCAACCCCCAATTACTCTCACACTTTAATAATAATTTAATAAAATAAAATTTATTTTAATTTAAAATTTTTAAAATTATAATTATAATATAATTTTAATATAAAATTAAAATATAAAAATTTTAAAAAATATTTTTGCCCTTTGGAGGCAAAGAGGGGAATTTTATAAAGAGTTTAGTTTTCCCAACGCTTTTAATTTGGGTGTGAAGCATGGGTGATGTTGTTCCCAGCGAGGGGGGGAAGGCTGGGGGGCAGGGGAGATGTCATGTTGGGGCCCAATGTGTGGTGTGAATAAAATGCAGAGAATTGTAGTTTGGAAGTTGGAGGAGGTGCGGGATTACCAAAACTTTTGTCCAGGGGGGCTGAGGAAGGGTTTTTGAGGGGGTTTCGGACTTTGTAGAGAGAATGGAGCGAAAAAAGAATGACTTAAAGGTGTATCAGTCTGTAGGGAAGGAAGGCGGGGGGGGGGGGTTTCGGCCTAGGAAAGGTTGGAGGGGGGGGGTTTAAAGGGAAAGGTTTTTTGTGTGCGAAGGGCTTGGATTCCCGCAGGCGTGCATGGCGTTTTTGGGATAGGGTAAATTGGGGACGAATGGTTTTTTTACTTGACGTGCTGTTGGACTTTTGGCAAAGAAAATTTATAAAGGGGGGTTCGGGGGAAAAAACCGGCAGGCCGGACTTGAGTCCTGGGTTGGGAAGTACAGTGCCTGACTCTAAAAAAGGGGGGTTTTTTTGGTTTAATGTTTGCGTTTAAAAACTTTTGTGAAAAGCCCCCTTCGGGCCCAAGACAGTGATGGAGTGAAGGAGGGGTTAAAATTTTTTTCTTTTTCAGGCACCCTCCCCTTGGTGGGAATGGGCCCCAGTGTGATAAAAAAAAAAAATTTTTTAAAAAAATAATTTATACATGTGTAATAATAATTAATCTTTAAATTTGTAGTAATGGAGAGCTTAAAGATGACACCCCCAAGTACCTTTTTTTACCTCAGTGGGGGGGTATGTTTCATGCTTTGCTTGCTTTTTTTTTACGGGTCTTTTGGGCCATATTTCATTTTTCTAAGCATGGGTCTTAAAAGTAGTTGAGGGATAGTGGCGAAAAGGAAAAAGAGGGTGTTTTTAAAAAATTTAAAGCATGAAATCTTGATAAAAAAGCGGGGTGTGAAAAGGTTTTGGGTTTTTTGGGGGGGGGGTTGGGGGGGGGGGGGGAGGGGGGCTCGTAATCAGAGAAAAATTTATTACCCGAACGATGGTCGTTCTTTCAAAAAAACTCGTACTTTGGGGACACTTCTGGGTTTCCCACTGTCCCTTTATTAGAAAAAGACATTGCATAGTCCAACTGGACCCCCCCTCCCCCCCCGGAAGACAAATTGCATGTTCCCCTTAGGGCATTAAACTGTGACTGCATTAATTGCTTTCCCCTTCCCCCTGGTTTTTTGTAAAGATAAGTTTACTTGTGATTTATTTGCTTGATTTTTAGTTCATAAGAAGTAAAAATTAAGTAAAATTTCTTAAAAAGAACTCTGTATTTCTGCATATATAATGTTTCTACACAAAAAACGAGCTGAGAAAAAAATTTTTTTATCTGTTTTTTTAAATTTCCCCCGTTTAAAACTGTATTGTGTTTCAGCTCTCCAAGGGTTTTATGTGGGTTGGTTTAGGGTAAAGGGGGTTGAAGTATTTTGGGCATGAGACGGCGCGTTTTGGGGCTTTAAATTAGATCACGAACCCGCTGAGGTTTTCCTATTTGGGAATTGTTTATGGGGGCACACAACTCATTGAGGTGAATGGGGAAAAGGGGAAAAATTCAAATTTATTTTTTTATTGTTCTTTATATTTTTTTTAAAGTCAGTTTTTTTAATGTTTCTAAAATAGTTTTGGGGTAGTTTGGGGATAAACACTGATGGAAAACCACCTTAAAGAAAGATGCCGTACAAAAAATAGGTTTTTTTTTTTGGAAAGTTATTAAAAAAGATTGTTTTTGGGTCTTGTTTGTGGGTAGGGGGGGGAAATTTTGGGAGGAGAATTGGGAAAAAAATGTGAGGATAAGAGACTGTGGATGCATGCAAGTTTGGGGAAAATATTCATACCCAGTTGCACTTTAGAAAGGGTTTAATTTTTAATGCTTGATTTTACCCTTTTAAGGGGGTTTTAAAGATGGGTTTTACTGGTTTTTTTGCATCCAGGGGGGGGCCCGATAATATTTACTCTGGAATCCCCCCCTTTATCTAATTTGGGTTCCCCTTGGGACCTTAAAAAAGGAAAAAAATTCTTCCTCAGTTCCCCTGCCCCCATCGGGGGGCTTTTGGGGTGCCATTTTATATATTCCCCGCCCTCCCCCCCCCCTCCTGTTATTCAAAAGTCCTTTTCCCTATCCAAAAATCTTTAACCCTTTTAGTATTATTGTACACCATTATTTTCCCTCTTCCCTATAAAATTTTTTTTAAATTTTGAAGGGAGGGGCTCCTTGCTGATCACTTCTCGGAAAATGGTTTCTGTTCCGGAAAGTGGTTCTTATGCTAAATAGTTTTATTCTAGGGTGAATGTTTAAAAAATTAAGATCTTTCATTTCTTTTTCTTTTCCATTGTCGCACCCTCACTCCCTTTCAGGTTGTAAATTCCCTTTTCCAGTCTTCTCATTTTTTTTCCTTTCTTACCCAAAAATTTAATTGCCCAAAAAATCACCTTTCCCGATATTTGCAAGGGCTTTTTCAGTCTAAAATCATTATTGGGAAACTCTCCCTGTGGTATTTGGTTGGAACCTTCTCCATTTTAATTTTTTTTTAAATTTTTTTTTTTTTTGTAGGGCTTAGACAGGGATGTGTAAATGTCCCCTTTGGGTTTTTTAAAAATATTTATAGATGGGGTTGTTTAAAAAAAGTTAATGCTAGGGTGTTGGGGAGGGGGGGGATTAAAAAAAAAGGGGAATTAAAATACAAAAAAGGGAATTGAAAAGTTCTTTTTTGTGAAATATTGTGCTTTGGGAGATTTTAAAGAAAAATTCAGAGGTTAGGGGGTTTAGTTTGGGGGTGTGTGGGAAAGGTAGGGAAAATTGGGAAATGGGAAAATAGAAAAGAGTAAAAGGGGATGAGGGTATCAAAAAGATTTTGATAAAGAAAAAATGGATATCAAATTGGGGAGGGGGTTGTATAGGAAAAAGGGAAATTTTTTTTCCCCGTAAAAGTAGGCCCTTTGGGCAAGGATGTGTGTTTTTCACCGTGGTTGTTTAATTTTATTTATTGATTGGGGTTTTTAAGGAAGAAAAGCCCAGGGTTTGGCAAGAGGCGTGGAGTTTTAAAAAAAAAAAAGAATTTACAAAACAAAGTGGGAGTTGTCAAAGCGGGTCTTTGTGATGACATGTGGCTCTTGGGGGGGGGGATTTGAAGAGGGAAATTCAGGTTTTGGGGGAAAGAATTTGGTTTGGGTGTGCAAAAGAAAAATTAAAGGTTTAATAAAGGGGAAAAAAAGTAAGGTTATGAGGGGTAACAAAAAATTAGGTGATGAAGATTTGGAAAATCAGTTTTGGGGGGGAGAGAGTAGGAGGGGTTTAAAAATATTTTAGATTAAATTTTGGGGGGGGACGTGTCAGCGGATGGGTCTATGAAAAAATGAGGTGAATCTTTGAATTTATGAGGGGGAAAAAAAAGTGGTGGGGGCACTTAGGAGTCTGTGGAGGGCAAAGAACTTTGTCCTTGGAAAGGGAAAAAGGGGAATGTTGGGGAGTTTTGTTTTACCAAAAGTCTTTTATGGGTTTTGAAGCGTGGGTGAAAGAATGTTGCAGCGAGGAGAAGGGGGAGGCAGTGAAGATGTAATTTTCTGAGGGAATGTGTGGTGGAATGGGAATGAGAGAAAATTTGTAGTTTGGGAAAATTAGGAGGAGATGCGGGATTTCCAAAATGTTGTCCCGAAAGGGGTGAGGAAGGGGGTTGGGTTTAGGTGGTTCGGAATGTTGAGGAAAAATGGAGCGAAACAGGAAAGACTTCAAGGGGTGTACTAGGGCTGTAGTGGAAGGAAGGCGGGGTTTGGGGTCGGGCTAGGAAAGGGTTTTGGGGGGAGGGGGTAAGGTTAAAGGGTTTTGTGTGCGAGGGGCTTGGACTTCCAGCAGGCATGCGTGAGGTTTTTTGTTTGGGAAATGAATGGAGGGCAAATGGGTTTTTAAAAAACTTGAGTGCTGTTGGAGTTTTGAGCAAGTACATTTATGAAGGGATTCAGGGGGAAACCCGGGAGGGCCGGGGCTTGAGTCCTGGGGAAGGGAAAATACAGTGCCTGCCTTGAAGGGGGGTGTTTAAAAGTTTTCGTTTAACCCTTTTTTGGGGGCAAGGCCCAAAAACTGGAGTCACGCAAACCGGTGTCCAAGAAAATTTTTAAAAAAAAAAATTTTTTTTTCTTTTTTGAAAATGGTTTTGAGAATCTTTTTGTGAAAGGGAATAAAACAAAAAGTAGAAATTTGGTGGGGAAAAATTGACGAAATTATGCTCTCGCAAAATTTTTAATGTCCCGCGTATTTACGAATCGGCGGGTTTTGCGACTATGCTCCCCTTTTTGGCCAATTACATTATTCCAAAATTAAACCAAAATTTTTAGCTATTTCATGGGATTATTCTATCGATTTAGCACAAAGGGAAAACGCCAAGTCAACTGTTTCAAATACAAATAAAGTGACGGAAATTGTTAATTTGGCCAATTTTTTAAAACCAAAATTCAAAATATTCCAATTTTTAAAAAAAGGGTCAGAATTTAACAAAGTAGGCCCTTCCTGGCATAAAATCCTTTCCTCTGTTTTAATTTGGGTTTTGTTTTGGGGCTTTTCAAATAAATTCCTTTTTTATTTTTTTTTTTTACATAATTTTAAATTTTATTCACAACCCCCAAAAAAAAGAAGATTTTTTGTTATGAATACTGTATAATTGTATAAATATCATACCATATTTGTGAATGGGTTTTTTAGACCCCCAGTGACGTTTTATTAGGGCGTGGGGAGGTCGTTTGTTTATCTTGAATTTTCGGCAAAAAAATTTTAAAAAAATTTTTGCTTTCTTTGAGCTAGTTTTTAAACCATTTCAGTGCTTTAAAAACCCAAACAAAATTTATTTCTATTTCTGTAATATGTCTTCCATTCTTTCCCAAAAAAGACCAAGAAATCGCCCAAAAAAACTATAAAAAAAAATTCGAAAAAAAAAAACTGCAAAATTGGGTGTTTTTTAAACGAAAAATCTGATTTAATTTTTTTTTTCTCATTATACAAAGGGGTGCTGCAGGATTGTTTTATGTGGTGGGCCCCCAAAAACAAAATTTGTTTTATTCTCTCATTCTGGCCCAAAAGTTCCACTCACAGTTTTTCAGGTGAGTGAGTCAGGGGGTTGATCTTTGGGTTTTGGGCCCTGAAAATAAAAAACCCTTGATCTACGGGACGGAAACCCCGAAAGGGGTTAAAAAATGTAGTGTAAAGCACCCTTCTGGCAAAACAGGGGATGGAGTGAATGTGGTTGGAAAGTTTTTTTTTTCGGGCACCCTGCCCTTTGGGGGGAATCGGCCATGTTTATAATAAAAAAAAATTTAAAAATAGTATGGAAGGGGTGAATGTTTTCAGATACTTGGGGGTTGATGTGTCAGCGGGTGTATTTATGGGGGGATTTAGGTTAATCATAAAATTGATGGGGGGAAAAAAAAAGTGGTGGTTTTTTGTTGAGGTATATGTGGAGACAAAAAAAATTTTGGAGGGGAAAAAAGGGAAGGGATGAAAAATTTTTAGCAATACCAACCCTCTTATATGGATGTGAAGCTTGGGTTTTGGGGAATTTCAAACGCGGGAGGGCGGTTTGGGGGGGCAGTGGGATGTCCTGTCTAAGGGGAATGGGGTGTAAAATTATGCAGAAAAAATTGGAATTTTGGAAATTAGGAGAAAGTGTAGAGTTAATAAAAGTATTAGTTTAGAGGGGTGAAGGGGGGGTTGTTTTTAGGTGGGGTTTTGGGGCATTTAGAGAGAATTTGGAAACAAAGTTTGAAAGAATGGAGAGGGGGTTTTTAAATTTTGTAGGGGAAAAGGGGGGGGTTGGGGTGGGCCCCGAAAAAAGGGTTTGGAAAGGGAAAGGGGGTAAGGGGGGTTTTTTTGGGGGGAGGGGGTTTGGGCTTCCCGTAGGCATGCATGAGTGTTTTTTGATGGGTAAGTGGGGGATGAATATATTTTTGACCTGACGATCTGCTGGAAATGGGGAGCGGGGGAATATTTAGTGAAAGGGGTTAGGGGGAAAATGGTTTTTTTTTATATAGCTGGACTTTAGTCCTAGAAATGGGGGGGTTCAAAGGGCCCGCCCTCTAAAGGAGGGGTTCGGGTTTTTCATTTGGGGGGGGATTTGTTGTGTATTTCCTAGTATTTTTTTAAACTGGTTTTGTTTGAGCACCTTTTGCAAAAAAACAGTGATTATGTGTGTGTGGGTGAAAGTGTTGGATGATGAAAATTTTTTTCTTTTTTTTGGGGGTTTTCTTTCTTTTTGGGTCACCCTTGCCCCCGGTGGGAGACGGCGGCTTGTTTAAAAAAAAAATTTATTTATTTTATTATTATTTTTTTTCAAAACCCCTCGGGGCCCTCTTTTCCAAGGGTCTATGTGGGTCTGGTCAGGGTAAGGTGGTTGAAGTATTGCTGGACATGAGACGGCAGCGTATGGG